AGCCTGGACCGCGGGGGGGGGGAAGGGGAGGGGCCACGAGAAAAGAATAGCCTATTAAAGGGGGAAAAATGGAACGCGTCGTCCCCTTGGAGACAAGGTACCCGACCCAACCCCCTCTACACATACTTCTAGCCCAGCAAGGTGGACGGGGGAGGAGCCTGGCCAAGGGCGCGCGACGGACTGCTGGGCAGGAGGCGGAGGAAGAAAGCGTGAGCCGAGCAACGAGTTTGGGCCGGAGGGCACGCCCCTCTCCCACCGCCCCTCTGACGAGTCTCTTGTGGAGGAAGGGGGCGCACGCGCGCGCGCACGCACGCACAGACACAGGCAGGCCCAGAGCACCTTCGGCCGTTCTCACCTCCGAAGCTCTCCAGGCCCGGCTATTGGGAGAGCGGCAGACAATAATTTCCCCCCAGCCGTTATGTTATCTGACGGTTGTTGGCCCAGCCTAGCTTGTCTCGCGCGCTTCCCCACCGGCGCTTCGTATCCGTGTTCGCGGCGGAGGAACCACCTGATGGAAACCCCTCACACAGCACCTCTAACGGCTGTCGCCGCCGCCATCTTGGCCTTCTTTCTATGGAAACCAGAGGGAAAGGGGCGGACGGATACACACCGTTACTTAGTAACCTCTTCTGGAGACACGATCATGCTCTTCCGCGCCGTGAGTCCCGCCTTCCGTTCCTCCTCCCTACCTCCTTTTTTTATGGGGCACGTGACCAGCCAACATCCAGTCCTGTTCCGTTGCTATGTGCCGCCGGACCAGTGAGGAGGTCTCTGGAAGATACCCGCTAAAACTACGTTTCCTATAGAGTAGTGCGTGTGATGTGATAAGCAGTTGACTTGCTTCTTTGCCAGGGATTCTGGGGTTTGTAGTTTCCTCACACTCTGGGGCAACTACTACTGCTGATACTGCGTTGAATTCTGCAATATGTTATTTTTTGCTTACATAATGTTAAAGGTTTTGCTGAGGTTAGCAGTAGAATGCTGCTAGTTCACAAAGATGAGGGAAGGCTTCAGCTCAAGTACAGGTCTCCTTCGTCAGAGATAGTAGTAGAATTTTCTGTAGTTGAAAAACATACTTTTTGTTTGAAGTAAACAAAACAAAAAATTGAAGCCGTGTCCATACCAAAAGCCAAGACAAATCAAAATAACTGTGCAAGAATTCTCCAAAACTTGAAAGTAAGTAGGATTGCCAACTCCCAAATGGAGTCTGAAGATCCCCAGGATTACAACTACGGTTGCCAGGTGGTGGCTGGAGATTTCCTGGGATTTCAGCTACTCTTTAGGCAGCAGAGATCAGCTCACCTGGAGAAAATGGCCACTTCAGAAGGTGGACTCTGTGGCATTATACCCCACTGAAGTCCCTCCCATCTCCAAATCCTGCCCTCCTCAAGCTTCACCCCCAAAATCTCCAGATATTTCCCAACCTGCAGCTGGCAACCCTAATTGCAACTGATCTCCAGATGACATAGATCAGTTTCCCTGGACAAAATGGCTGCATGGAGGGTGGCCTCCCTGACATTTTATCCTGCTAAGATCAACTGTATTGAGGCTTTTGTTGCCTACAGCCCACTTTGTCAGATGCATGCAGCGCAGATTGGTCATTGTGGACACAAGGAGAAGTCCAATGGGCTGATGGCTTTGGTGGGGGACACCCCTCTTGAACCCACCAGCTTGATCGAGCACAGCATTAGATGATAATTGGACATATGCATTTCACAAACTTACTGCAAAATCACAGATTACTTAAAAGGTTCTGAAAACCACTAGAAAGTCAGTTTGCAGGTATAAAATGTTAATATAATATCATCCCCCTTGCATACCTTTGCCCTTTCCTCTTCATGTACCACAGTCTTTCGAATATTAACCAAAGCCATTTCTTGATTCCTGTCCAGGTTAGGTTGTCAGTTCCCAACTGGGAAATATCTGGAGATTTTGGGGGTGGAGTTGAGGAGGGTGGGTTTTGGGGAGGGGAAGGGACTTCAGTGGGGTAGAATGCCATAGAGGCCATCTTCCACTTTAGCCATTTTCTCCAGGTGAACTGAGTTCTGTCTCCTGGAGCTCAGTTGTAACAGCAGGAGGTCTCCAACCCCCACCTGGTGGTTCGCAACATAAATTCCAGGTATAGGGTTGCCAGCTCCCTACCTTTTTCCTTCAGGGGGCAGAGAAGCTCCTGTTCCGGGATCTGTTCTGAAGTGATGTCGTCGCGCTGGGCATGTCCCTGGGGGGATGCTCTAGTATTCAGCTAGAAACTCTATGATACCATAGAGTTTTCAAGCCAAATGCTAGAGCATTCCCCGGCAACATGCCTGGAGTGATGACATCACCCCAGGTGACATCATCGCACCGGGCATGTCGGCCCAATCTAGGCACTTTGGGGGTTGGATTCACCCTGCTGGCCAAATCTGGACCAGCGGATCAGGGGCCCCTAAAGCGGACAAACCCCCGCTTCCCTAAGGGATCTGGCAGCCCTATCCGGGTACCAAGTCTGCACTGAGGGCTCAAAGAGGGGGCTGTGAATGTATACCTGTGAATATCCTGTGAGAAGAATATTTGTAGGAAACTGAGTATATTTCTAGGAAATTGAGTTTCTGGGATTCATGTAAGAGCCACTTCACATACTGTAGCAAGTGTTTATTACCATTCCTTGAGAGCCAGTTTGGTGTAGTGGCTAGGAGCGCGGACTCTAATCTGGGAGAACTGGGTTTCATTCCTCACTCCTCCACATGCAGCTGCTGGATGACCTTGGGCAAGCCATAGTTCTGTCAGAGCTGTTCTCTCAAGGACAGTTCTCGGGAGAGGTCTCTCAGCCCCGCCTACCTCACAGGGTGTCTATTGTGGGGAGGGGAAAGGAAAGGAGATTGTAAGCCTCTCTGAGACTCCGTTGGATAGTGAAGAGTGGGGTATAAATCCAATCTCTTCTCCTCTTCTTTTTATATGTGTAAGAAGAAAACTGTGGGAGATCCTGGCTTCTTTCCTCATCAGCCTATATCCATATGGTCAAGAGTATAGTTGTAAAATAGTTGGCAGGAACATGTCATACATATAGGCCCTGGTCCAGTTGTTCTCATGTACTCATGCATAGTAGTCCTAGATACAAATGTGCATCCTGATTTGCATTAAAAGACATATCTAGCTTGCTTTATCATATGGATGTGGGAATCCATTCAGAGTCACATCAGCAACACACAAATTTCTCTTGTTGAGCAGGAACGAGGATGTGTTGAAGTGACTCTCTTCAGTGTGTCTTTTGAAGGTGGTTTATGATAGCTTTGAGTGCCTGTTTAATGATTTTTTTCTCTCTCATGAAGTTTTTATCCAGCTTTATTTTGTTCACAATGTCCTTAGTTTTAAGGTTCTTTTGTTTTGTTTTTTAATGTTGCCTGTACTGAGCATCGAGATATGGAGTGATGGCCCTGGCCTGGATAGCCTGGGCAAGCCTGATCTTGTCAGATCTCGGAAGCTAAGCAGGGTCAACTGTGGTTAGTATTTGGATGGGAGACGTCCTCGGAATATCATGTTGGGAGAACAGGGGCAGGCTTTATTCAGCCACCTCTGATCACCATGATTTCCAGGTGCATGCACATGCACACATACAAGCACATATGAAAAAATATCAAAAGAGAGAGAGAGATCGATGGAGGGATAAAAATGTGAGTAAGGTTACAGCAGTGGCATTTCAGTGGGTCATGGATACTTGTTTGGTGTAGTGGTTAAGTGCACAGACTCTAATCTGGGAGAACCGGGTTTAATTCCCTACTCCTCCACATGCAGCTGCTGGATGACCTTGGGCAAGCCATAGTTCTGTCAGAGCTGTTCTCCCAAGGACAGTTCTCAGGAGAGCTCTCTCATCCCCACCTACCTCACAGGATGTCTGTTGTGGGGAGGGGAAGGAGTTTGTAAGCCGCTCTGAGACTCTCAAGTGAAGGGCAGGGTATAAATCTAATCTCTTCTCCTCTCTTCCTCCTCCTCTTCTTCTTGGTTAGGTGGAAGGCTGGAGTGGTGTGAAGTCTGGCATGTCTTTATCATTCTGTTGGATTCCTCTTTCTACTGAAGAAAGCATTGAGCCAGGGCAAGGATTCTCTTCTTGGTTAGGTGGAAGGCTGGAGTAGTGTGAAGTCTGGCATGTCTTCATCATTCTTTCTGTTGGATTTCTCTTTCTATTGAAGAAAGCATTGAGCCAGGGCAAGGATTTACTGTGAGAAAGAATTAATTTTGATACCACAATTGCTGTTTACTTAATGTCACTATAGTAGTGTAAGCACACCCACCCATAGAGTCTTTCAGACTTCCACGGTTCCTCTGACAGTGAAAGGGCAAACATTCAATGCTGCTGTTTACATAGAGGATTTTTTTTTACAACATCTCTTTCTCAGCTATTTGAAAACATGTTTGCTCTGTTTTTAAAGGGTTTTTGTTATTAGTTGTTGTAGATTTTCTGGGCTGTATGGCTGTGGTCTTGGCATTGCAGGACCTGACGTTTCGCCAGCAGCTGTGACTGACATCCTCAGAGGTTCTTGGGTTAGAATACTAAAACAATTTGTCCAGCAGGTGGCAGAACAAGGTAAGGAAAATGAAGTGACAGTTTTTAGTACAGAGAGTCTTGATAACAGTTTAATTAGATGAGCAGACTTTGAGTCCTATGGCACCTTTAAGACCAACAAAGTTTTACTCACTTGCCTTGAACTTTGTTTTGCTGCTTGAGACCAACACAGCTACCCACCTGAATCTACTTTAATTCAATATTTATTAAAATCTTCTGGAAATCTCAAGTGAGTACAAAATTGTGCTATAAAATGCATTGTGAGGTACAGAGCCTTCATCAGTATATGAGAAGCATGCTTTGGCCCCATAGAATTACAAAAGAACCAGCTCTGGTACATATGTACACTTTTTCTCTGATTTGGCACATCCAATCCCCAGCAGTCCACAAGGATGGCTCTTTATAGGTGATCTGACCATCAGCAGACTAGGAAAACAGCAGGCTCAGTGAAGACTGAAAAATGGTTAAAGCAGAATACAAAATAGAACCCCACACACACACACGCCACCCCTTGATACTTCTGCTTCTGTGGTAAAGTCATGGACAGATTGTACAGGGAATTCATATATCTCCATAGTCTTTGTGGAATTGCATGTGTTTTGTTAAAAGCATCTAAAGACCAATATATATGGAGATCCAGGATTTCGGCTTTCAAGAGTTGAAATATCGGGCAGACCAAATTCTCTTTAAAATACCTAATCATCACATCTTTGCTTTATGACAAAAAAATCAGATGTGGTGAGTTTAGTACTGGGACTTCTTGCCTGAAAACGTTTCTCAGTAGAGTTAATCTGTTCTTATATTAATATTTCATCATATTAACTAAGATTTTAGAACGAGTTTATGAGTTTGTTCCATCTAGCCAATGCTGCCAGAAGCAGGGCACTTGCTTGCTCATGATCAATTAAAAAATATTCTAAATCAGTTTGGAAGTTTTTGATATGGTTTCTTGTTTGTATGTTTGTGAAAGCTTCAGGTTTCTCACAGTAACTTAGCAATTGGGGGCGGGGAATAAGGAAGAATAGAACTCTTAAGATTACTTTACTGATCTCTTCGACTCCTTTTATATCCATGCACTGGTTTTGAAAGAGTTTCATTCCCTTTAGA